TCCAGGTGGAGGGTCTGCAGAGGAGCCTCTGTCGGGGGGAACGAGGAGGAGTGAGGAGCGGCGCACTGCCGCCCCTCGACGCAAGGAAGGCAAGGCGGCGCAGGCGAGGCAGGGAGGGGAGGGAGGGACCTGGGAAGACCAGACACAAGGTGGCGACGGTGCATGCCACGAAGGCGTGGCAAGGAGGGGTGACCCAGGCGGTGGTGCCAGAGAAGAGTCTGGTGCGACAGGGAACGACACTCACAGGCGTGGGCTACCAGACCTGACGCAGACACCTGACCGACAGCAGCAACCTGAGGAGACGCAGTGGTCAGTGTGTAGAGACTCGACCCCGGCCGACGGGTAAACGTAGCCAGGTGACGGCCGGTCCTGGAGCACGTGCAGATCGCCACACGCTGTCCGCCAGGGGTAAAGGTGTCAACCCACTGATCCTGGAGGACAGCGTTGCTCACCAGGTTCGTCGAGAACGAGGGGAGGTGGAAACCCGACAACGAGCCAGACGGAACCGCCGGACAAGGGAGGACAGTGGTGGACTGGGCAAGGACTGGGCCCCCAGAGGGGTCAGCCAAGGAGACTGGGACCGGTGCAGGAAGCGGTGTGAGCTCAGTACTGTCACGAAAGAAGCAACGGGAAGCACCTGAGTCAAGGGTGAAGGTGTGACAGGCCTCAGCCGGTGCGGTACCTGAGAGAGCAGTCTCTGTGGGTGCTGTACCTGAGAGAGCAGACTCGAAACCAGCCAGGACAGCACTGGGGGGAGCAAGTACAGGGGGCACCATACCAGAGAGAGCAGACTCACTAGTACCCAGGGCAGCGGGCTCTATACCTGGGTCAGGCGGCACACACAAGTAACAGTCTCCCTCGGCACTAACAGTCAATGCATACATGGCAGCAATAATAGCATCATAGTCAAGAGCAAAGACATCAACACCAGCCCTCATGAGCTCAGCCCAGCGGGGGCGCTCAACATCCGCGCCCATCTCCTCACGCCAAGCGTCGTCAAGGCGAGAGAAACAGCGGTACGGGGTGTGGAACCTCCCACACGTCTGTCCCTTGCGGTCACCTGTGCGAATGACATAAGAACAGCGGCCACTGCCCCCCGACGTCCCACGCTGAGCAAGCCACTCACGAAGCTGCTGGGTCGTCTGGGGACGCTGCTGCTGGTGGGAGCTCTGGCCCGAGCCAGTGCCTCCACTCCGACCGCCGCCGCCACCACTACCACCGCTCCGACCGCCACCGCCACCACCGCCACCACCGCCACCGCCGCCACCGCCGCCACCGCCGCCGCCGCCACTACTGCCACTGCTTCCGCCGCCGCCCCCGCCTCCACCACCGACCCCACTCCCACCAGCGCTCCCGCCACCGCTCCCTCCAGCACCGCCTCCCCCCCCACCTCCCCCACCTCCTCCCCCCCCAGCGCCACCACCACCACCCTTGCCCCCCTTGCCCTTGCCGGTGCGGCGCCTCCCACCAGGAGCAGAAGCAGCGCCAACAGACTCAGCACCAAGGAAGTCAACAGCAGCAGCAGCAGCGTAGGAGGGAGCGAGGGGAGAGGGAGAACACCCCTCAAAGATGGGGGTGCGAGGAGCGCCGCGAGCAGCACCTACAGCTACAATGCTCTTTTCGGCCGCGAGCAGCTGCTCCTCTAGGAGGGCGACTGTGAGCTCAGTGGGACAGCGAGCAAGGAAGTGGTCTCGAACTGAGCGGAGGGTGTCAGGGAGACGGGTGACTATGAAGTGGAGTGTCCAGTACAGTGGAGGGGGGTTCTTAGCGCAGAACTCGGTGGGAAGGGCGGCACGCAGGCGAGCATCACTAGTGCGAAGGTGGGTGATAAGATCGGCGACTGTAGTAAAGGTGGACAGATCGGGGAACAGGTACGGCAGCATGAGGCGGCTAAGCTCGGCTGTGGCAGGCGAGGAGTAGCGAGCAACGACAGCATCGTACAGGGCCTTAGCGGATTTGCAGTCGCCAAAATGCTCGAGCTCAGCTAGCGGCAGGTGACTACGAATGGCTAGGCGAGCAGCTGCGTCACGAGTCTGCCAGTGGGAACGAACACTAAGCTCGGCTGTGGCAGCAGGAGCAGCGGCAGCACCAGACGCGTAGTCATAGAGGGAGATGTGGTCCGTGCTATTGCTCATAAGATACAACTGCAGGTCGTCGAGCCAGGAAGTGAACTGCACGGGACGGCCCTCAGCATCGAAGGAAAGAACGCGAATAGAGGCCATAGCTCAGGCGTGAGGGCACAGCAGAGCAGCGGCAGCAGCAGAGGGGACGCAGCAAGCGGGCAGTGAGGCAGCGGGCGGCGCTGCGAAGCAGGTAGCGGGCGGGCGGGCGGCGCTGCGAGCGGGCAGCGAAGCGGGCGGGCCGCGAAGCGGGCAGCGAGCGGGCGGGCGGGCTGCGAAGCGGGCAGCGGGGCGAGCGGGCTGCGAAGCGGGCGGGCCGCGAAGCGGGCAGCGAGCGGGCGGGCGGGCTGCGAAGTGGGCGGGCCGCGAAGCGGGCAGCGGGGCGAGCGGGCTGCGAGGCGGGCGGGCCGCGAAGCGGGCAGCGAGCGGGCGGGCGGGCTGCGAAGCGGGCGGGCCGCGAAGCGGGCAGCGAGCGAGCGGGCTGCGAAGCGGGCGGGCCGCGAAGCGGGCAGCGAGCGGGCGGGCGGGCCGCGAAGCGGGCAGCGAGCGGGCGAGCGGGCTGCGAAGCGGGCGGGCCGCGAAGCGGGCAGCGAGCGAGCGGGCTGCGAAGCGGGCGGGCCGCAAAGCGGATAGCGAGCGGGCGGGCGGGCTGCGTGGCGGGCGGGCCGCGAAGCGGGCAGCGAGCGGGCGGGCGGGCTGCGAAGCGGGCAGCAGGACGAGCGGGCGGCTCGGCGGGTGGGCGACACTGCGAGGGGCGCGCGAGGGCGCTAGTGAGGGGCGCGCGAGGGCGCTAGCAAGGGGCGCGCGAGGGCGCTAACGAGGGGCGCGCGAGGGCGCTAACGAGGGTGCGCGCGAGGGCGCTAACGAGGGGCGCGCGAGGGCGCTAACGAGGGCGCACGAGGGCGCTACGAGGCTAGGGCACGGGGTAGCGTGGTAACCGCATGCGAGCGGTGGTGGGCCCTTAAAAAAAAAAACGGTCGGTAGGTCCTAGGGACCTCCTGCTCTGAATACCATATCAGAATAGCTAGGCAAGAATGATTGAACTAGCAGAAGTTTTGGTACAAATATGAAACCCTAGTTGGGGTTGTACCCCATATTGGCTACCCCACTACAGCCTACAAGCATAATACAGTTTAACACCCCCCACAAAAGAAGGTGTTCGCTGCTCGCCTGTGTGTTCGGGGCGAACACAAACACGTTGACAACATACATGTTCGTGTTTGTTTTGGGCAACCTTTGTTATAGTCACAAGTATGGGGATGCTGGATTCGGTCAAACAGAAAGTTTGGTCAAAAACAGGTTCCTACTGGTACCGTGCTGGTTTGTACACTAAAACACCTGAACTCACCATTGGCACCATCCTAAGTCTAATTCAAGAACAAATTACTATTTATGCTAACCGTAAATGGGTAGAGGAACCCGTTGATGTGTGCTCCTAGCGGTAGTTATTGCTGCTGGGGAGGAGATTAGAGATGAGCATTTGCCCCGCGCGGGTCGGGCCGGCCCGACCCGACCCGTAGTTTAGCCCGGGTCGGGTCAGTGGTTTCATTTGCCTGCCCCGTGCGGGCCGACCCGACCCGACCCAGGCTAAAACCCGACCCGAGCATGGTACTCGGGCCGAGCTGGGTCGGGTTTCGGGTCAGGCTTGACTGGACCCGAAGTCGGGTCAGGACCAGGGAAGTCAAAACCCAAGGTCAAATTGTTGTCAAGGGTTTTTTAATCCCCTCGACATCAGAACCTGTCAAACATTATATATGTTGTAGCTTTGTAGGCTACAGTGGGTTTAGCCTTAGGGGGTACACAATTCTAGGGTTGCATATTTGTACTCCCATTCTTGCTAGTCACACCATTCCTCGTTCTCATTTTCACATGGTTTCAGAGCAGGTTCCCTAGTGGGAACTTTTCCTAGGGCCCACCCAAATCAATCTTTTTTTTCCTGCCCGGGGCGCGCGTCGCCCCTGCCCGAGGCGCGCTCGGTGTGCTGCCCTTCGGCGGCCCGTCGCGCCCTCCTCACGCTGCCTTACGCGACCCCTTCGCCGCCCTTAGCGGCCCCGTCGCCCCACCTTCGCGGCCCCGTCGCCGCCCTTACCGGCCCCATCGCCGCCTTACGCGACCCCGGCGCCGCTCTTTGCGGCCCCGTCGCCCAACCTCTGCGGCCTCGTCGCCGCCCTCCGCGGCCCCGTAGCCGCCCTTCGCGGCCTCGTCGCCGCCCCACCCGGCCCTGTCGCCGCCCTTTCGCGGCCTTGTCGCCGCCCCTCCACGGCCCCGTCGCTCTTCGCGGCCCCGTCGCCGCCCCTTGCGGCCCTGTCGCCGCCTTCGGCGGCCCCGTCGCCGCCCCTTGCGGCCCTGTCGCCGCCTTCGGCGGCCCCGTCGCCGCCCCTTGCGGCCCTGTCGCCGCCTTCGGCGGCCACGTCGCCGCCCTTCCGCGGCCCTGCCACCCTTCGCGGCCCTAACGCCGCCCTACTGCGGCCCCCGCCGCCGCCCTTCTGCGGCCCCGACGCCACCCTTCACGGCCCCGAGATCGCCGAGCCGCCGAGCTGCCACCCGCCGGGCCGCTGTTGCCGCCGTGCCGCCGAGCCGCCGTTGCTGCCGTTGCCACCGCGCCACCGAGCCGCCGAGCAGCCGAGCCACCGAGCCGCCGAGCCGCCGAGCTGCCGAGCCGCCGAGCCGCCGAGCATCCGAGCCGTCGAGCCGCCGAGACGCCGAGCTGTCGAGCCGCCGCGCCGCTGTTGCTGCCGAGCCGCAGTTGCCGCCGTGACTGCAGTTACGGCCCTGTCCCTGCCGGCGAGTCTTGGTCCTTCTCGCCTGCCCGGTAAGAGCAGCGCCTCTGCCACTGCACTGCCCTTAGCCTGCTGCTCGCACTGCTAGTCTACTGCTGTCATGGCCACCCCCAGTGTTCTCACCTTTGACGCTGAGGGTCGGGCTGTTGACTTTGAGGTCTGGGTAGATGATCTGCAGCTTTTCCTACAGTGCGATAGGGCAGACGGTCTCTCCCTCTTTGACCTCACTTCTGGTGCCTCTCCTCCCCCTGCTGCTGATGCTGACGCCACTGTTCGCTCACAGTGGGCCACGCGCGATGCTGCTGCCCGCCTTGCTGTGCGCCGCCACTTGCCGACCGCTGAGCGTGCGCACTTTAGTCAGTACAAGAGTGCTAAGACCCTGTACGACGCTGTAGTTGCACGCTACTCTTCCCCTGCCACTGCTGCGCTTAGCCGCCTCATACTGCCGTACCTCTTCCCTGACCTCGCCGCTTTTCCCACTGTCGCTGACCTCATTACGCACCTTCGCACTAGTGACATTCGCTACCGCGCTGCGCTTCCTGCTGAGTTCTGCGCCAAGAACCCCCCCCCCATGTACATCACCCTCTACTACATAGTCACCCGGCTCCCTGACACCCTTCGCTCGGTCAGGGACCACTTTCTCTCTGTTTGCCCCACCACTCTCACCGTTGACCTCCTCGAGGAGCGTCTCCTAGCAGCAGAGCAGAGCATAGTTGCTGTAGGAGCCTCTCGTGGTGACCCTCGTACCCCTGTCTTTGAGGGGTGCTCCCCCTCCCCTCTTGCCCTCTGTTGCCTCTGCTGCTGCGGCCGACCTCGTTGGTCTTGAGTCGGTCGGTGCGGCGTCTACCCCTAGCGGGAGACGCCGCTCAGGCAAGGGCAAGGGGGGCAAGGGCGTTGGGGGAGCTGGCGGAGGCGGTGGAGGCGGCAGTGGAGGGAGCGGAGGGAGTGGGGGTGGCGGTGGGAGTGGTGGTGGGAGTGGGGGCACTAGTGGAGGCAGTGGCGGCGGAGGAGGAGGCGGTGGTGGAGGTAGCGGCGGCGGAGGTGGAGCGGGTCGGGGCGGCTCTACGCAGAGGGTCGGCTCCGGTGGTGGTCAGCGCCAGCAGCAGCAGCAGCAGCAGCGTGGTCGTGAGACCCCTTCCCCCCAGCAGCTTCGTGAGTGGTACACTGCTCGTCAGCGGGGCGGGGGTGCTGGCCCCTGTACCTACGTTCTCCGTACCGGCGACCGCGCGGGTGAGCAGTGTGGGGGGGCGCACTCCACCCAGCGCTGTTTCGGCCGTCTGACGGACGCTTGGCGTCACCAGTTCCCCGACGCTACTGAGATCCCTCGCTGGGGCGAGCTGTCTAGGGCGGGTGTTGCGATCTTTGATCTTGATTATGATGCTATTCTTGCTGCCATGTATGCTGTGACTATTAGTGATGAGGGTGACTGTTACCGGTGTTTTCCGCCTGACCCGGGCATTGAGGCTGCTGCTCTAGGTGCTTGTGAGGCTGCTGCTCTAGGTGCCAGTGCGTCTGCCGCCCCAGGTGCCGGTGAGTCTGCGCTCTCAGGTACTGCGTCGTCTCCGGACACCCACACCTTCACCCTTGACTCGGGTGCTTCCCGCTCCTTCTTCCGAGACTGCACCACACTCACGCCGCTTAGTCGGCCAGTGGCGGTCTCCCTGGCAGACCCCTCTGGGGGCCCTGTCCTTGCCCGCTTCTCCACTGTCCTACCGTGTCCGGCGGCCCCTTCTGGCACCCTGTCAGGTCTTTACCTCCCCTCGTTCTCTACGAACTTGGTGAGTGGTGCTGACCTCCAGGATGCAGGGGTTCACCAGTTCACTCCTGCGAGTCAGCGAGTGACCCACTGTACCTGTGCTCGGTCGGGCCGTCACTTGGCCACGTTTACCCGTCAGCCGGGGTCGAGCCTGTACACACTGACCACTGAGTCTCCTCCAGTCGCTGAGTCTGCTCAGGTAGCAGCGTCGGGTCAGGTGTTTGCTGCGGCGTCCAGGTCTGGCCCTGAGTCTGCCCCCTGCTCGTGTCGTCTCCTGTCCCACCGGACTCTCCTCTGGCACCACCGCCTTGGTCACCCCTCCCTGCCTCGTCTTCGAGGCATGGCTTCCCGTCTTCTTGTCTCTGGCCTCCCCCGGTCCCTCCCTCCCCTTCCTCCGGGGCCTGCCCCCACCTGCGTTCCCTGCGTCGAGGGGCGGCAGCGCGCTGCTCCTCACTCCTCCGAGTTTCCTCCGACAGAGGCTCCGCTGCAGACGCTTCACATGGACGTGTGGGGCCCAGCCCGCGTCCGTGGGCAGGGTCACGAGCGTTACTTCCTGTTGGTGGTTGACGACTACTCGCGTTACACCACAGTCTTCCCCTTGCGCAGCAAGGGTGACGTCACTGAGGTGTTGATCGCCTGGATCCGCGCAGCTCGTCTCCAGCTCAGGGAGAGTTTCGGCTCGGACTTTCCTGTTCTGCGTCTGCACTCTGACAGAGGCAGAAAGTTCTCCTCTGACCTTCTGCGGGCCTTCTGTCGTGCACGAGGCATCCGCCAGACCTTCACGCTTCCGGACTCTCCACAGCAAAATGGGATTGCTGAGCGCCGCATTGGCATGATCATGGACGTCGCTCGTACGTCCATGGTCCATGCGGCTGCCCCCCATTTTCTGTGGCCGTTTGCGGTTCGGTACGCGGCACATCAGATCAACCTTCACCCCTGGGTCTCCAGGCCGGAGACCTCCCCTGCTTTACTGTGGACGGGGAAGGCTGGCGATGCGTCTGCATTCCGGGTCTGGGGATCTTGGGCGTTTGTCCGCGACTTGTCTGCGGACAAGCTGTCCTCTCGTGCTGTTCCCTGCGTCTTCCTTGGCTTCCCTCCTGACGCGCCAGGCTGGCAGTTCTACCACCCCACCTCGCGCCGTGTTCTGTCCTCCCAGGACGTCACCTTTGACGAGTCGGTTCCCTACTACCGTCTCTTCCCCTACCGCACTGCGTCCCTCCCTCCCCCGCCGCTCTTCCTTACGCCAGGTCCCCCTCCGGTAGACCCCCTCCCCCCTCAGGGTCCTGCCCCCTCAGGTGTGTCCCAGGTAGATGCGGTCGAGCCTGTCGAGGTAGCTGTTGACTCTGGTGCTGCTGGGGGTGCTGGGTCTGGGGGTGCTGCGACTGGGGGTGCTGAGCTTGGGGGTGCTGAGCCTGGGGGTGCTGAGCCTGGAGGTGCTGCGTCTGGGGGTGCTGAGCCTGGAGGTGCTGAGCCTGGAGGTGCTGCGTCTGGGGGTGCTGAGCCTGGGAGTGCTGCGTCTGGGGGTGCTGAGCCTGGGGGTGCTGCGTCTCGGAGTGCGGAGCCTGAGGGTGCTGGGCCTGCTCGTGTGGCGTCTGGTGGTGCTGGGCCTGGAGGTTCTTCGGGTGCTTCGTCCCGGCGGGAGCTACTCTCTCCACAGGAGCTGCGTGAGTGGTTTGCCCGGCGCTCGAGGAGTGCTGCTGGAGCTGGCGGTACTACGGACGCTGGAGGTTTTGCTGCTGCTGAGGGTGCTGGTGCAGCGGGTCCCGGAGGTGCTCGTACAGGGTGTACTGGAGCTGCTGGGCCTACGGGTGCTCCTGGTGCTGGAGCTGCTGCGTCTTTTGGTGGTCCGACTGGAGCTGGCGCTACTGGGGGTGTTGGCACTGGAGGTGCTACTGGCGCTGGTGCTTCTGAGGGTGCTGGAGTTGGCGCTGCTGGAGCTGGGGGTTCTACTGGTGCTGGTGCTGTCGTTGGGGGTGCTGGTGCTGTTCCTTCTGGTACTGGTGGCGCTGTGCGGCCACGGCCGTACTTTGTTCCGCTCCTTGAGCAGGTTCTTGGTCTTCCGTCCTCTCTTGGTCCTGCTCCTGGCTTAGAGTGTCCGCCTCCTGTCCAGTCTGAGTCACAGTTACAGCCAGCCTCCCCGCTTCCTTCTCCTTCTCCCTACACTGGTCCTACTGGAGGTCTTGCTGAGCGTCGTGAGCCTGCGTCTCGCCCTGCGTCGCCTGTCCGTGCTGCTCGCACTGGTCGTCGTGGTTCGCGTCAGCGTCCTCCCCCTGTCCCCGGCACGCACCGGATGTCTCTGCGTCCTTCCACTGCTCCACTGCGTGCCCCTTTGCCTTCTCCTCCCGCGTCCTCTCTTCCTGCACTTCCTGACCCGGAGTCGCACTCCCTTCATGCTGCGCGTCCTACTGTCACGCGTCTCCTTGCTACTGTCGTCACTGACCCTTCCTTTGAGTCTACTGCTGCGTCTGCCCTAGTTGCTGAGCTTGTCGACTTCGCTGCTCGCTGTCGCCTAGACTACGCTGCCAGTCTTGTCGCTGAGTCTGAGTCTGTCTGTCCTCCGTCCGTCGGGGGTGAGTGTGCTCTTGGCACGGACGTCCTTGAGGACAGGCAGGAGGAGTTCCAGTGCTTGGCTGCTGCTTCACCTCATCTCGTGTCCATGCTGCTTGCCCCTGAGGGAGACCCGGAGGCACTCAACATCCTGACTCCGCGCTCTTACGCTGAGGCGATAGAGGGTCCCTACTCCTCTCACTGGCAGACAGCCATGGACGTAGAGATGGCTTCCTGGAAGTCCACAGGCACCTACGTTGACGAGGTTCCCCCGCCTGGGGCGAACATCGTCAGTGGCATGTGGATTTTCAGGGTGAAGCGGCCGCCGGGTTCTCCGCCTGTCTTCAAGGCGCGTTACGTGGCTCGTGGCTTCAGTCAGCGGCATGGAGATGACCACTCTTCGGGTACTGCTGCACATAGCCGCTCACCGAGACTACGAGCTGCACTCTCTTGACTTCAGCACTGCTTTCCTGCAGGGTAGCCTGCACGAGGAGATCTGGCTGCGCCGCCCACCTGGCTTCACTGGGACTTTTCCTCCTGGCACCCAGTGGAGCCTCCGGCGGCCAGTCTACGGTCTCCGCCAGGCACCTCGTGAGTGGCACGACACACTGAGGACTACACTTGCGGCTCTTGGGTTTGCTCCCTCTACTGCTGACCCGTCACTGTTTCTGCGCACCGACACTTCTTTGCCGCCGTTCTACATCCTCGTGTACGTCGACGACTTGGTCTTTGCTACAGCTGACACTGCTGGACTCGCCTACGTGAAGTCCGAGCTGCAGAAGAGACACACGTGCACAGACCTGGGTGAACTGCGCAGCTACCTTGGCTTGCAGATCACCCGGGACAGAGCACAGCGCACCATTACCCTGACTCAGTCACACATGGTGCAGCAGGTCCTTCAGCGCTTCGGCTTCACGTACTCCTCGCCTCAGGCCACTCCTCTGTCTACACGCCACTCGCTCTCAGCTCTGCCTTCGGATGAGTCCGTAGAGTCGAATGGCCCGTACCCAGAGCTTGTTGGCTGCCTCATGTACCTGATGACCTGCACTCGACCTGACCTTGCATACCCTCTTAGCATTCTGGCACGCTATGTTGCTCCTGGGAGACACAGACCAGAGCACATGGCTGCAGCGAAGAGGGTGTTGCGCTACTTGTGCAGTACATCGGGCATGGGGCTTGTGCTTGGAGGGCAGAGTCCAGTGGTCCTCACTGGGCACGCAGACGCTTCTTGGGCTGACGACCAGGCTACGCAGCGGTCGTCACAGGGTTACACCTTCAACCTTGGTTCCAGCTCTGTTTCGTGGCGGTCTACCCGCTCGTCTTCTGTTCTCGGCTCCAGTTGTGAGGCTGAGATCTACGCAGGGGCCATGGCTGCACAGGAGCTACGCTGGCTCACCTACCTGCTGACTGACCTGGGAGAGCCGCCTCGTTCTCCTCCAGTGCTGTACGTAGACAACAAGGCCATGCTGGCCTTGTGTCGGGAGCACAGACTGGAGCACAGAACGAAGCACATCGCTCTTCGCTACTTCCTTGCTCGTGAGCTGCAGCAGCGTGGTCAGCTGCGCCTTGCTTACGTGGCCTCTCAGGCCAACACTGCTGATATCTTCACTAAGGCACTCGCGCCTTGTGATCATCAGCGCTTTTGTACTCTGTTAGGTCTTGTGCCTACCTTGCCTCACTTGCTCACTTCTTGACCTTGCTTGTACTGTTACATATATATATACCTGCTCTTGCTTGTTTAGCGTTATATATATGTAATCTTGCATGTGAACTGGCCTTGTGGCCTTGAACTTGTGCTCAGAATGTGTGGTGACATTGAGATCCACCCTGAGCTTGCTTTGCTTTGCTTGACTGGTCTTGTGACCCCTTGTTCTCCCCCACTTTGCCTATGGGGGTGTGTCAAACATTATATATGTTGTAGCTTTGTAGGCTACAGTGGGTTTAGCCTTAGGGGGTACACAATTCTAGGGTTGCATATTTGTACTCCCATTCTTGCTAGTCACACCATTCCTCGTTCTCATTTTCACAGAACCTACCCACGCTCAATCTTGCCTAACGGCAGCAAGCAAGTCACCTAATTGTAGAAACTACTTAGTTACAACCCGTTCAAAGCTCATTGACATACATTCATAGCTAGTTTACTTACAGCATCAGCATCTGTTATACAGTATAACAAAAAAACCATTCACAAACACACACACCACTGTACCCTAAACCTACGTTGGAAAATACGAGTATCGAGTATAATACGCTAGCCTATTATACGCTGGGTATATACGCGGTACGACATGGCTGGCGTACTGCTGATACGCAAAAATGCGTTGGCGGGCAGGTAAAACTTTTTTCCTGGGCAGGGCTAAAAAAACCTGTTTCAGGGGGGGGTGGATTTATGTCTCACAAAAACACATGTCAATTTTGTAATCCATAAATATCCAGAAATACACTTTTGGCAGAATTTTTCTACCACCAACCCTTCCCCAGACTCATCCGCCGTGTTGCATCCTCTCCTTCCGGCCCCAGCATTTCATCCTCATCCTCGTCCATGTTATAGCCGGAAGGGATAGGGGCATCCGGGATGTTACCGGGCACAACCGTGCTGCCCCTGCCCCCATCCTTGTTGTACCAATTGCGCACAACATTCCAGTTATGCGCAATGTAAACGAGGTCCGCACACTTGGCGGACCAAAGCCGGTTGCGGCGGGCGGTGTGGACGCCTTCCCACTGTGCCCAGCCATGTTCGCATGGAGAAGCCAAGACGGGCTGAGTGAGCACCCGGCATGCGAGGGTGGCAAGCTTCGGGTACTCGGTGCTGTGCCACGACCTCCACTGCACCATGCTCATCTCCCGCTTCTTCACTGCTTCTCTTGCAGTAACGGCGCTCGGCCTGCCAAAACTGCCCTCGATGTTGATGTAGGCCAGAAATGCCTCCTGCAACACAAGTGAGGCGCGACGAGGGGCGCCATCCTTGCCGTGCCTGAAGGTGAGGTTGTCATAGTGGCGCTCGATGTAGTCCTTGAATATCCGCGTGCACTCCACATCGTTCCTGAAAATTCCCTCCACCTGGTTGGCCGGATTCAAGATCCGGCCAACCACATGCATGGGGCAGGCAAGGGAGATGTCCCACCTGTCCTTCACAATCCAGGTGATCTCTGCCCTTTCCGCCCGAGTCAAGAAGTCGCCTGCATCGTCCAGCTTGTCATTGATGTCCTCTGTAAGCTGTAGCATCATTTCATAAAGCTTACCCATCATCCTCTTCGATGTGGAGTCTGTGGCCCGCAAGACCTTGAATGGCAGCTCCATGAGAGAGGTAACGAAGGCAGCCACCCCCCACCACTCCTCATCCATCACGGCAGCCTTGAATTTCTCGGCTGCAGGCTTCCTCTCCCCCACTGCCCACCCATTCCACTCATCGCTGAGAACCATCTGCGCCAGTGCACTCCTCACCTCGCGTAGCCAGGACACAGCTATGTACTGTGTCCCGAATCTGGTCCCCGCGGGCTTGAGCACCTGTTCCCCCCCCCCCCCCCCCCCCCCCCCTTTCTTTATGAAGGCACGGGTGAAGTGCTGGTTGCGCGCAAAGGTGATCATCTCCCCCACCTTCTCCACAAGCCCCTTCGCCCATCCTATTTTGCCCACGTCTTCCATCATCAGGTCCAGCACATGCGTTGCACATGGCACATGCTCAATGTGCGGCCATGTGCTCGTGATCTTTCTGGCTGCCGATGCATAGTTGCTGCCGTCATCGGTGCAGACCGCCACCACATTCTCCAGCCCCACCTTATCAATGACGGGGCGAAGAAGGCCGGCGATGTACCCCTCGGTCTTCGACTCCATGTGGCAGTTCACTGCCTGCTCGAAGACCGCGCCTAAGTCGTTGACAAGGAGCATGTTGGCCTGCGGGCGGCCACAATGGTTGGACATGATGTCCGACGACACGGTGACACCATCCCGCTTCCAGCTCGCGGCAACGGGGGCGAGCGCTGCCTCCATTTTCTGCCGAACTTTCTTCAAGCCCGCCCCTCCAATGTAGCGCCTCTTGAGGGGGACGTACCCCTGTCCTGCACGTGCAATGCACTTGACCATATAGCGGAACCCTGGATCATCCACGATGCGCTCCGGAAGTTTCAGCGCCGTGATCATAAGGCAAAGTGCATTATCCGCGTCCTCCTTGGCGCACGTCGCCTCGTCGCTGAATAAATCCGTAATTTTCACCTTCTTCTCCGCACATCCAGCGACCGCGCCCAGCACAGAGTCGAGTGCTGCAGCGGCCGCCCCTCGTATCAAGCTCTGCTTTTCCTCCTTCTCATACATGGCACGCACTTCTTCACAGACTTCCAGGGACACGTCCTTGCAAAGCCTGACAGCGCGTTCCTCCTGCCCTTTCCGTTTATCGATGTGAACTGCGAAGCGAGTGGTTCCGCCCTCAAAATGGAAGCCAGAAAACTTACAAAGCTTGGGAGTGCCTTTGGTTTGGGGGGGAATAAGAAAATGTTTCAAAATAGGGTTCGAAAGGCCATCCTCAACAGGCTCCTTGTTGATCTCACTACTAGACACGTGAACAGAGACTACATTGCTCGTCGCGATTGGAGGGGTGGAGTTCGATGCCATGGCGCGCGACAAAGGAACGGTAGACTGCTTGAGGAAAAACGGGAGATGAGAGCTCGGGAATGAAATTGAGAAGGAGACAACTAAGTTGCCAAATACGCTCAACCCCTTCAGCGTAAAGCGTATATACGCTAGCATTTGTACGCTATGCACTATACGCCCGCGAATACGCTATACGCAGTCAGATTTTTTTTTCGGGCTGCTCGGAAAAAATAAATCGCGAAAATAGTTGTGGAGTTTGTTGGTGAGCATTCTGCCGAAGTCAAAACGAAAATCCGCAATCTGGGCTAGCCGGGATCTGACTTCGAAGTTCTCAAGGGCATTTGCAAATCAAACGTTGAACCTCAGATCTACGCATTGAAACCCATCCCATCTACCGCATTGAAACCCATCCCAACTACAAACTCCAACCTATCAAAATCAACCCCTCAACTAACCTTTCACCCTATTTACCAGCCAGCCTAGCTGAGTCGTCATTTCCCACAATTCATTCCCACAATTCATTCCCGCTTCCAGCAGAGCTCCCTCCGACTCCTATTCCATTTTCTAGCTAAAATGTCTACCCCGCCTCCCATCCCACCTGCCGTTCGAACTCAAAATAATGCTGCTAGGGCACGTATAGTGAGAATTTGGAGTACTTTTCTTCCCACCCTGCCCGAAAAGTTTTTTCCCTGCCCAAAAATGCGTATGCCAAAATCGACCCCCTACGCGGATAGCGTACATACGCTAGCGTATATACGAAACGCGTAGATACGCAATAAGCGTATTTCGCAACTTAGAGAGACAATCGATTGAATGATAGGATGGCGTGAACGAGTATATGTTCGGACGACGTGCTGAACATTTGAGAGGGGTGGTTGGATATGAGAGGTTTGGTAGGATGGTGTGTGGTTGGGGTGGTGGGAGGGTGTTGGATTCTGAAATTTGAATTTCAGAAGTGGGTTGGGCGATGTGCGAGGTCGCGGTAACAATGAGCGAAGTCGCAAAACTGTCACAAATTTTTCAAATTTCGGATTTATTTTTTCGGGCTGCCCAGGCGTATTTTCACGAATCCCAAGCGTATTAGCATACCACGCATATACGCAAGCGTATATACGTGGTACCCCACCCTACCCAAGGCGTATATACGAGGTACCACTTACAAAAGGTGGTCCCTTTCGTGTTTTGCTCCTCAGATCAGCCATCATCACCGCTCTGAACCAAATAGCACCGCTCCTACTGCTCCATCCACTAGACTCTTGGTGCTGTTCAGTTCACTTGAAATTGTGCTCCGCTGTTTGCATCTGGTGAGTTTTGAGACCTCTCAAATCCTGCACGTAGCTCTCTATGCCCGCAGCAATGACTGCCATCATAAGGTCGTTCACAGTCTGTGTGTGAGGGGGACGGGGGGGGTAGAGATTGTGAGAATGAGGAGAGGAAACGTAGGGGAAGGGAAAGGGACAGGAAGGGGGAAACGATCATTCAGGAAGAGATATGAGTAATTGGATATAAACGGCATATGGAGGGAGGAGAGAGGGGAGGGAGAAAAGGAGAGAGAAACGACCGTAGCACACACACACTCTAACATGCACTTCTACAAGCATGCCCTACCCAAGGCGTACGTGGCAGCCCTAAACATGGGCCGCCCATGATGGGCGGGTCATCCTGGCCCGACCCGACCCTCTGCTGCCATCCAGCTGCATCTGCTGCCACCCAGCTGCATCTGCTGCCACCCAGCTGCATCTGCTGCCACCCAGCTGCATCTGCTGCCACCCAGCTGCATCTGCTGCCACCCAGCTGCATCTGCTGCCATCCAGCTGCATCTGCTGCCATCCTGCTGCATCTGCTGCCACCCAGCTGCATCTGCTGCCATCCAGCTGCATCTGCTGCCACCCAGCTGCATCTGCTGCCACCCAGCTGCATCTGCTGCCACCCAGCTGCATCTGCTGCCACCCAGCTGCATCTGCTGCCACCCAGCTGCATCTGCTGCCACCCAGCTGCATCTGCTGCCACCCAGCTGCATCTGCTGCCACCCAGCTGCATCTGCTGCCACCCAGCTGCATCTGCTGCCATCCAGCTGCATCTGCTGCCATCCAGCTGCATCTGCTGCCACCCAGCTGCATCTGCTGCCACCCAGCTGCATCTGCTGCCACCCAGCTGCATCTGCTGCCACCCAGCTGCATCTGCTGCCATCCAGCTGCATCTGCTGCCATCCAGCTGCATCTGCTGCCACCCAGCTGCATCTGCTGCCATCCAGCTGCATCTGCTGCCATCCAGCTGCATCTGCTGCCACCCAGCTGCATCTGCTGCCACCCAGCTGCATCTGCTGCCACCCAGCTGCATCTGCTGCCACCCAGCTGCATCTGCTGCCACCCAGCTGCATCTGCTGCCACATTGGAGTGGATGAAGCTAGGAGGCGTAGGGTGGTGGGAGTGGGGGTGGGGAGATGGCAGGGATGTGGGAGGAGGTGAGGAGGGTGACTGTAGACACATTGTCGCTTGCATGAGGCAACAACAGGTGGCGGGCGGGCAGACACGGACGAAGATAGTTTCCATGTTCCTCTCACCCACACCCCATGTTCCTCTCGCCCACACCCCATGTTCCTCTCACTTGCACACCCATCCTGCTTTCTCCTTTCCTCTTCCCCTCGCGCCTTTCCCCTCTATCCCTCGGTTTCTGTTTCCCCCTGAACCGCCGCGTTGGCAGGATGCATTGCATGCGGACAGCAAGGCAGGAGCAGCAACAGGAGCCGCAGAAGGAGCAGCGGCAGGCACAGAGGCACTGAGAAATGAGGGGGGCGAGCAGCAGGCGTGTGAGGGCAGGGGCCTGTCTCTAGAGCAGTTTGAGGTGGTGCTGCGGCGGGTGGAGGGGCAGATGACCCTGCCCGCCACGGCACAGGTGGCGGCGCAGCAGGGGCAGTACGTGGCTCGCTGCTTCAACCGCCTGCTGGACCCTGCTTTAACTCCCGAGGGGCCGCCCAAGCTGAGAGGCGAGGATAGGCACCTGCTGCAGCCGTTCCGGTGAGTGGAAGGGCAGATAGAGGCCCTTCCAGCCATAGTACAGGGGCCGTGCAGCAGGGGCAGTATGTGGCTCGCTGCTTCAACCGCCTGCTGGACCCTGCTCTTACGCCCGAGGGGCTGCCCAAGATGAGAGGGGAGGGAAGGCACCTGCTGCAGCCGTTTCGGTGAGTGAAAGGGGTGGGATCAAGGTGCAAAATGATGGCCAAATTTTTGGAAATTTGGTGTAAAATACACTATCGTAGTTTATGGTTGTTTAAAACGGTTTAAAACGCTGCCTTGTTGTCAAAATGAATTGGTACAAAATAACGGCCGTTTTTTACGGTCGAAATTTTGAAACAAAATTGTGTACACCAATTTTCTTGAAAAATATTCCACCATCAGTCCAGTATCGAGAATGCGCACGCGGAAACCGACATGCGCCTTTTTTGCTAGGCATCTGTGGGATGGGAGGGAGTGTAGTTCTGGTGAAAGTGGGGAAGAGGAGGATAGGGAGGGGGAGGATGAAGAGTGTGAGGGGGAGGGAGGAGGCGGCGGCGGAGGAGGAGGAGGAGTAGGGCTGAATGAGCGCACACTACACAGTTTGTTAGCACTTTAACACTTGCTAGGCATGCCAGGGCATGATGTTTAACAGTTTTAGTTTTTTTTTTTTCTGCCACAAAATCTCTAACAAAAAAACGGCCGAAACTTTGAAATCTGCCCGTAAAATTCAGTCGTATAAAACGAACCGTACTTTTCGCGAACCGTCATTTTGCACCTTGGGTGGGATGGATAGTGGGATGGGTGGCAGGGTGGGATTGCGCAGCAGGGACAGTACGTGGCGTGCTGCTTCAGAGGCGAGGGCAGGCACCTGCTGCAGCCGTTCCGGTGAGTGGAAGGGTGGGGTAGGTGGGAAGATGGGATGCTTTGAAGCTGGTTCTGTTATTATTATTATTGTTGTTTTTATCACTATTTCTGCAATTGTTGTGATGATTACATTCAGTCTTATGGACGTTCCTTAGCGTGCGTGCATTAGCGCTCTTCATAATCAGGTTCAGTCGGAAAAGGAAGCAAGAGGGAGTGGCATTGGAGGCCTTTCCGATGGAATTCTGACAATTTGCATCTCGCTCACGGATCTACCTGACAAACTGCGCTGACTGTTTCTCTCCCTCCTGCCCCCCTCCCTCCATGCAACCAGCAACGTGCATTTGGGTCAGTTTGCCCTGCTGGGGTCAGAGACCACAGCAGCGGAGCTGCCTACCTACCCCAACTGCTCTATTTGTGCGCATTGCTTGTGACCCTGCCCGCGACATGCAACCAGCTATGTGCATCTGGGGCAGTTCGACCCCCTGGAGTCGGAGACCACGACAGCAGAGACAATTTTTGAGGCGCCTTAAAAACAATTGCTTCACAACCTCCATCCCCCCTCCCTCCATGCAATGCCACCAGCTATGTCCATTTGGGGCAGTTCGCCCCGCTGGGGTCAGAAACCACGGCTGCGACTTTTGTGACGTCTGAAAACTCCCCTCCGCCCCTCCCGCCTCTTCCTCCCTCCTCCCTCCATGCAACCAGCTATGTCCATTTGGGGCAGTTCGCCCCACTGGGGTCGGAGACCACAGCAGCGGAGCTGCCTGGCGACTGGGTCAGCATCGGCAGGTCCACACAATGGCTGTGGTACTCCGTGTATGCCAGGTGTGTGCGCCGTTCAACACTCTGTACCCCCAGGTGAGTCTGTGTGCAATGTGGGTGCACGCACTCATCTGCCTGGATTTGGGGCTCATGGAATGTGAAGGGGCAGCTCGCCCCTCTGTAGCTGCCTGGCGACTGGGTCAGCATTGGCAGGTCCACACAGTGGCTCTGGTACTCCGTGTATGCCAGGTGGGTGTGTTGTGCAGTATTGGTTCTCAAAAGTCGCACCAGGTGGGTGTGCTGCACTGTGTGTCGACAGGTGGGTGTGCTGTGCAGTATTGGTGCATGCATGTTCTTTGATTGGAGGTCCACGCAGTGCCTCTGGTAATCCGCGTCCACCAGGTGGGTGTGCTGTTCAACACTCGGTGTGCACACGTGGGTGTGCTGTGCAGTATGGGTGCATGCATTCCTGTGCTTGGATTAGAGGCTCATGGAATGTGGAGGGAAAGTTTGCCCCTCTGGAGATGCCTGGCGACTGGGTCAGCACTTGCAGGTCCACGCAGTGGCTCTGGTACTCTATGTCAAATGGGTGTGTTGTGCGGCATGAGTGCATGCATTTATGTGCGTGGACTGGAGTCTCTTGTTATGATCCTAGCAGCAAAAATGCCGCAGCACCTCACTTACCTGTGTTTCCTTGTGTCTCTCCTCTCCTTGCAGTAAGCAAGTCAGTGCGAGGACAAGAGCCCTGGTGGTGTTTGATTGGATCAAATCAGCTCTGTTTGGCCGTGATTCAAGTCGCATGTGAATACTTGTACCGTCCTTGCTTGATACTTTAGTTTGATTGCTTGATTAAGAGTGTGATCCTATCAGGCAACCTCGTATCAATTTCGCGTCGAACCGCACTAAAACGCATCCAACCGCAGTCGAACACACTGAAACGCATTTCACCACGCGAATATGATACGAGGTGTTTCTGATACGAGGTGTAGGAACACGCTCTAATACTTTGCTGGTAAACCCTGCACTTGCATTCGTTGCTCAATCGTTTGGCAAGCAAAATCTTGTGTGTTATATTGTGAACGCATCTTACGGTACGTAATGTAACTGGTGAACCGAAACAATGTGTAGTCCAGTTTGGTATTCGACATGGTACCTGTTAAGGGAGGATTTACTGTTCACTTTGAACAGTACTTTCCAGCTCACCCTTATCACTATCGTCCTAGATTTTCTAGTGCCACGTGGCACTATACTTTCTTTGCTTTCCAATTCCTAGTCCCACATTCTACTTTCCAACATTCCTTTTTGCATGCTATATAAACCTTGCTTGTATTCCCTCATACCGTATCTACCCGGCTAAAACACCCCCAGGTTTTATCCTACCCCGGGTAAAATTAAGGGGTGTATTTATTGTTAGGGTGTAAATGTATTAGACCCGGGGCTTAATCCCATGTGTTGTTTTTCCCTCTAAGGCACAGTCAAACACTATTGTTACAGCTCGAACTGAACATTTACATTGTCGCGTCAGGTGCTAAATTCGATCACGCGCGTGCGCGAGACCAGCACGTGGCGATTCACTGATGTCAGCTGGAATTTCGGACTGGCTTGACTTTTCCTCCCTACAATTTCACTCGATATGTATGTGTTTACCGAAGAGGGGGTCTAAAGCGGATACGTTACAAAAAAGCGGGTTTATTATAAAAGTACAGATATGATTAGACCCGCCCCCATTTAACGACCCGGGGGGCTATTATTTTGGGGGGGCTATTAGCCAGGTAATTACGGTATCAACCAATTCTCATTCAACTCTTCTTCAATTACTCAGTTACTTCTTCGCCTATTTCGCCAACACTCTCTTTCGCCAAAGTCTTCCGCCGCGTTTATCCTCGACTTAGTCGACCCCGCTAATTCCTTAGCGGGCCTAACACTTGGTATGCGAGCCTTCGCGGGGGGCGACTTCCAACAAGCGACCGTCGACGACGAGACTACGACGTCATCGTCCCGCGGTGCCGACTTGCAGACTTGGAGTCGTCGAGCGAACATGGACGAATCCATGAACGCTTTCCCCCACGACATGGGCAACACGCTTGCCGAGCTCATGCGTCAACTCGAAGAATTGACGTTCGAAAATCGTCAGGTACGAGCCGAAATGCAACAGCTTCGCAATTTGGCTTCTAACCCCCATGGTCATGCCGCACCAACTCCTGCACCCACCACGTCGACTGGCGCGGAAGCGCTGCCGGAACGTCGAAGCGCACTCAAGCCGCAGAAACCCGAGTCGTTCGACCCAAGTCAACGCGACGCGAACGTGCGGACGTGGCTCTTCATGCTCAACAACTACTTCGCCGCGAGCGGGGTGCAAGAGGCGGACGCAGAGTAGCGGATCGAATACGCCGTAACGCTGCTGAGGGGCCCGGCCTTGGAGTGGTGGCGCCAACTTACGCAGACTGCTGTACGGAGGGCTCAGTTAGACGGGCATCAACAGGGCGTGGGGCATGCAGCTGCAACTTCGAGCTTAGGGAGTTTTGCCCTGGGTGTTACCACGGTTCCGACGACATGGGATAGATTTGAAGCGGCGCTGAAAAGTATGTGTTAGAATACTAGCTAAGGCTTAGAAGCCATGGCTAGGGTTTAGGGTACACGAAAGAGAAATAGGAGAAGAGGGTTGAACTAGAAAGGAGAGGGGTACAAATAGCAAGCCCTAAAAGGGTTATACTCACTATTGAGTACCCCACTACAGA